AAGGAGAATCATGTGCTAACAGCTGTCTAAATGACTCGGCTAAAGTTAGTAGCATGCTTGCTGTTTTTGTCTTTGCACTAGGATGTAAATGTGCAGTCATATTCGTTGTGTTCCCACTAGTGCTTTCAGGTTAATCTCGTTGAAATGACCTTAACGCCACAACACGGCAAATCTCCGTTAACGAGCTACCGCCGATCGCCCCGTGCATGGGGCTAGACAGCCAACACATTAACGAGCTAACTGCGCTAACACACTAGTTCCCACCCATGTAATTGAGCATTGCATGGCACATCCAACATACTGTTTTACTTTAGTCCATGACTCGCTTACCTTCAGGGTCATACGTCACATGAAAACCAAAATAATTCCAAACGCCAGATCTGAATGAGGGTGGGGGAGGTCCATGTTGCAAGGAGAGCTTAACTTCTGTCTCGCTAGCTTGCCCTGCGCTCTTCCTTCTGACTATGCTGTCTGTGTTGAGCGCTCAGTGGATCTGCGCTCGACAGTGCAGCCTAGGCGGAGTAGTCGAACGCAGATTCACTGAGCGCTCAACACAGACAGCATTGTCAGAAGGAAAGTTGATAAAATAAATTACAAATGTTGTATTGTTCGATACATATGCGTACCGAACCGAAAGCACTGTATCGAACGGTTCAATATCGATACGAATATCGTTGCACCCCTACGGGGCGATCGTGGCTCAAGAGTTGGGAGGTCGCCTTGTAATCGGAAGGTTGCCGGTTCGAGCCCCGGCTTGGACAGTCTCGGTCGTTGTGTCCTTGGGCAAGACACTTCACCCGTTGCCTACTGGTGGTGGTCAGAGGGCCCGGTGGCGCCAGTGTCAGGCAGCCTCGCCTCTGTCAGTGCGCCCCAGGGTGGCTGTGGCTACAATGTAGCTTGCCATCACCAGTGTGTGAATGTGTGTGTGAATGGGTGGATGACTGGATATGTAAAGCGCTTTGGGGTCCTTAGGGACTAGTAAAGCGCTATATAAATACAGGCCATTTACCATTTATTTTACCCTAGTAAACAGATATTCTGTCTCCCACCTGTTCAGAAAGCTCCTGTTTTCTGCCTTTCTTTTTGCCATTTTGGGAGAGGTAGCACGGAAGTATTTGCACAGTTGCTATGGCTACAGTCAACATGTCTCAAGGCTTTTAAACCCCTCACTACACACTTTGTGAACATTTTCACACTTTTCTCTCTTGTTTAAACACTCTCAAAGTTCAAAGCTTCGTAGAAAAATAAGTCCAGTATTACAGAATGAAACCAAAGACCAAGCCCTGTTTTCAGGTCCAGAACATGGGAATAGAGCACCTGCGAGAGAATTCACCATTAATGAATCAATGTATGGAAGTGGAGGCAGTGGAAGCAAGAAGAATGAGTTGAGTAAAGTACTTATCTGACGTCTACCTGGATGATTGAGCATGCATCAAGATACTTATCTGACGGTTTTGTTTCGCTTAATAAGCCTTATAATTCAGTGGAGAGGGTGCGCCTCATGGTCCAAAAAATACGGCAACTTCTACCTTCCTTTAGAAGTCCAACTTTTTGTGCAGTGGTTTCTTCCCCTGCCTTTTGGGTGCTACGCAGGTGACTTTGCAAAATGTTTCCTCGACAAACACAATGCGCTGTTAAACACCCCCCCCCCCCCCCCCAAAAAAAAAAAACATGCAAAATTGCATACAAAAAAAAGCCTCAAAACAGCGAGGCCGCGAAAAGTGAACAGAGTTATAGCAAGGGACCACTGTACTGAGGTACGCGAGTCCGGACTCACAAGGAAGCCCAAACTTCCCAAGAACACAGCGTGATTGTTCTATGGCATTGTATGGCAATGTACATGATGGCATCACTGCTCTGGAGTTTTTACTGCCATTCCCTCTTAATTTAAGTTTGAGTAATATTTGCAATGGAAATTACACATGACATAAAAAAAAATTGCACACAATGTAGTAGATTTCTTTAAGAATTTTTTTTTTTTAAATTATCTTAAGCACTTTGCAAAATTTGCTTTTAAATATCATCTGTTTCACAATGTCTAATAAGCTTCATACAGTTAACCACACTACATGACTAAAACACAAGCTTAATCTCCCTGAATAAACATAGTACACATGTATGCCTGAATAAAAACAAACAAGTGAGATGTTAGAACGCTTTTATTTTTATTTTAGTAAATATTCAAACTTAAAATAAACAGCTGGAGTTTGGAAGAGACTTGAATAAATATTTAAAATATAATCTGATCATTTTTGGAGCAGCCTTCAGGATCTCCACATATTAACATGCTTTTTTTAGACTTGATGGATAGCTTTAACAACCTGCTAGCTACAAATATTCATTTGCAATTCCACATGATTATTAACAGACAAAAAGAAAACATATTAATGATACAGAAATAGTTTTCTATACAAGATCACTGCAAAAAAGTGCAGCCTTACCTGATGTCCACCATACTGTTACTCATTTTATATTAAGATTTAAAAATCTAGTTGGTATTGCTATAGCAAGTAGCCTTCAGTAATAGTAATGTAACACAGCAATACTACATTCATGTAGCTGTAAAACCCATGACAATATATTAAGTATTCCAAAGTATTCAGAATACATTACTGTCATTGAGTAATTTAACAGATTATGTTACAAAATACATTTTGGGTAGGGGTGGGTTTTGATCATTGCTTTCTCGATTAAAATCGATTGTAGCTTGGATAACGTGATATCGATTCATTAAAATCCTGAATCGATTTTTAAATATACATTAATTTTGCCCGAAACGCCAGAATCTCAGTTTAAACCTCACAAAATTTCAACAACCACCAAACAGCTAAAACAGTAAATGAGGGCAGGTAAACAGATTCTGCACAAAGATGTAAACATGCACTGTCGGCTGCTGTTTTCTTTCCTTTTACATACTTCCGACAAGAAATACCAATTTCTGTGTTCAATAGGCTACTGAACTTTGTAAAAATTATGCAAAATTGCAATACGCTTAGCTGTGTCTCTAATAAAACCTCTGTAACTTTGCTCTGCTTCACTTCAGCAGTATCAGGTAATGTTCATAGGTTAATTAATGGTATTCTTTCATTTTTGATCTACTGCAGAATAGTTAAGGTCATCTGCTATAAAATCCCAGGCAAGGAAAATCACCTTCATGTTTTTCTGTGTTTTATCCTCAGTTACTTTGACACAAAGGCATCTGCTGTGATGCTTACACCTTTGATAAAGTCTCACAAGTGTCAGCTTTCTTTTTATAGATATAAAAATATGGAAATGTACTGATACGTGATAAGAATTATAATATTTCTGATTGTCTGATGCAAAATTTCCCCAATTCAAATCAAATCGTGGATCGATTCAATTCAAGACCTTGTGAATCGGAATCGAATCAATTCTAGAAATCTGTGACGATACCCAGCCCTAATTTTCGGCCATGTATTCTGTAATGTGTAGTGGAATACATTTTAAAAATAACCTTCCTAACACTCCCTGCAGGTTTTCGACATCACCCTGGGTTAACACACCTGAATCACATGATTATTTCATTACCAGCCCTCTGGAGAACTTCAAGAGATTTTGAGTACCTCATACCTCCTATTCCAAATCTCTTTGCCTACCAATATAAAGGGAAGGTTAAATAGGAGAATTGCTAAGGACTTAAGATAAGAAAAGAGAAGAGAGACCCCTGAGAATTGGTAACTTCATACAATTGGAATGGCTTTACACTCATCTCTCATTAACGATATGACGTAAGATGTTTGCCATGTTGAAACTACAATGTGCTGGAGAAGGACTACAAAACACATCTTAGTTCATAACGTGTTCTAACCCTGTTGTTGAACAGACTGTTAAAATATCCTTCATTACAGAGGCTGGAGTTTTAAAGGAGGAGGAACATTTAGGGTCAGATTTACTGATGTCTGCGGAGCGCAAAGTCTTCTTTCTGTTAAAAATCTGCTGTATGTATTAAAGATGCTCATAGTCAGATTGTGATTGAAAGTTGTGAACAGTAGGATCTTTGGACTTGTGCATATGTATTTGTAAGCCTTTCACTTTCAACAGAAGAGTATTTAAACAAGTCACACAATTCTGAGCACATTGTTTACTGCAAATTGCACAACCTTAACACGGAAAAAATTGCCCTGCGAGACACTTCCAAAAATTGAAGCATCTCGCCATTTTCAGAGACAAACATTGAACCTGAGCTCACACTGGCTTATTTTGGTTAGCACTACAAAGGAGAGCCAACACTTCAGACAGTGGTGCTTAGACAACAACCTCATCCTGAACATCCACAATCTGATCCGGAGTTTGTGCTGATGATTAATGACACAAACACGGTTCTACGTACAGCTGGTTTGTTTTATTCTCAGAAGAAAAAAAAAATACAAAAAACAATGTTTAAAACATAATCGTACCAGTGCACACCTGAGCACTGACCTCTGCCTGTGTCCTTTTGTCAATGTTTGTTTTCACTTCATAAAGGTTTCATTTAAAATAAATAAATAAATATGAGCACTGATGAATGTCAGTGCTAAACACCTGTAGCACCTGTCTCACCTGATCAAACAATCAGAATCACTAACTGTGATATTGTCACTGAAGACCTATTGTTGGTGGATTGAGCGCTTTGATTGGTGAATTGGCAGGATGCTGGTTACTGCAGGTGTCTGATGCTCCAGGTTCAATGTAGAATCATCACCTGTCTGTTTCACCTGTCACAGATGAGGACGAAGAAGACAGCAGTGAAGAGGACGAGAAAGCTGAGGAAGAAGAGAACTGTGAAGTGCATCCTCCCTCAAAAAGATCACGAACCTGAAACACCTGAGAACACTTTCACATTGATTTTTCTTTTTTTAAATTGACGACACAATAAAGATGTCAAGGTAAACAGTGTTTCATGTGACTCATTAAATAGAGAAAAGTACCACATTTCGGAGGAATCCTGCTCACCGATTGGCTGTGAGGTTTTCAGTTAACCTTAACCTAAATAATGTATCAGGTAACCATGGCAACATCACTGCATTGTCAGTAAACAAATAACTAATGCAAATAAAGTGACTCACAGCCAAGCAACAAATCACAACACATTACTGACGTCACAACAGAAAAAAAAAAAAAAAAAAGAGGGGAAAAAGACTGGTTGCCACTGGTGGGAGGGGCTTTTTTCACAGGGTGCTGTGAGTCTGTACTGAGAGTGGCAGAACTTCCTGTCAGGCCGCAATCAGGGCAAAACTTGTAGGAGTGTTTAAAAGGCACACAGGAAATGACATCACAAACTAGTCCTGCTGTCATCCCACCCCTCATCACGTGGGAGGCTCTCTGATTGGTCGTCCCCTACGTGTCAATGAGCGATCCTGCTGCCCTGTGATTGGCCAATTTGGCGGCATGGCGGCGGCTGTACAGAAGGGCGATACAGACAGGAAGCACACAGTATCCAACAGCGCGGGGGTCCGCCCTTGTGCACGAGAACAAGAAGAGAAAGAGCTGCAAGTATGGCAGCAGGAAGATCAATGCCCACATCCACACAGGAAGTAGTGATCCATGGACAGTGATAGCAGGAGGTGGAGCCGATGGGCTGGTACCTGCTCTCTGCACACGTTCCAAACTAAAGCTGTGGACCTCAAAGATGTAGTACGCCGCCATGACGCTGAGCAGCAAGTAGAAAGCCACACCCACCCATCCCATCCTCTGACGGAAGTTCATCATCCTCCATACTGCGGAAGAAACAGATTAAAAATCAAAACAAGATCAACATTCATCAGTGCTCTTATATCCAGTAACAGGTCAGAGGTCATTACATCATCCAAAAGAGCAAATCAACAATCAATGTTAGGATCAATGAAATAACTACTCCATCAGTGCTGAGATAAACAATCTCTGCCCCTGTCAATTTCAATTCCATCTGATTTAAATCTAAGAAACAGTTTGTCACTGGAGACTGCAGGTTTTAATGTTCAGTTAATAATAATAATAATAATAATAATAATAATGGATTGGATTTATATAGCACTTTTCAAGGCACCCAAAGGCACACAATGCCACTATTCATTCACTCTCGCATTCACACACTGGTGGAGGCAAGCTACGGTTGTAGCCACAGCTGCCCTGGGGCAGACTGACAGAAGCCAGGCTGCCATATCGCGCCATCGGCCCCTCTGGCCAACACCAGTAGGCGGTAGGGTAAAGTGTCTTGCCCAAGGACACAACGACCAGGACAGAGAGCCCGGGAATCGAACCGGCAACCTTCCGGTTACAGATATGCTTCCCAACCCCCTGAGCCACGGTTCCCACCTTAGTCAATTCACTTTTCATCTAATCCAGGTGTGGAGAACTCCAGCTTCAAGAGCCAGTGTCATTTAGGTTTTAGATATTACCCTGGGTCAACACACCTGAAATAAATGATTAGTTCATTACCACGACTCTGGAGAACTTCAAGAAATAAAGAGGAGGTAGTTTAGCCATTTAAATCAGCTCTCTTGGATCAATGACACCGGCCCTCGAGGACTGGAGTTCCCCCACCCCCGATCCAATTCAAAGTATGCCAACATGTAGCTCCGTGCACTAATTTACTTTAACAGAGAGCTGTGGTTTCTGCACCAGACTATTCATTTTTCTCTAATCCAAACTGTGCTAGCATGTAGCTCTGCGTCTTTGTTCTGATTTATTTCAACTTAGCGCTGTGAGCTTTGTACCAGACTCCATTCATTTTTTATCTGATTTAACGCCTGCTAATAGCTGTGTGTCTTTGGCCCTCTTTCCTGCTGCCATAGATGCTCGCACGGCTTCCCTGTAGATGACACACTGAGCTGCTTCCTGCCGGCCTCCATCTTCCTCTCTGCCTGTTAGCTCATGTTTTCTTACCTTCCTTCGCGCTGATATTTCAAATTAAAATCCAGCTGCAGGATCGTGTTTTGATCGCTGTTGTTCCCGTGAAGTCTCGTCTCTCTCTTCCGGGTAAGTCACCTGATGCCAAAGGATTACGTCATGTGTTACACAGTGCCGCCTGCTGTTTAAACAGCGTCATTACACATCAGCGCGTTAATACTACAAGTCAGTATGAAATCAAATATAACTGCATACAAACTGATTTTAATCATTTTCATGTTCGTTTGTCTTTGTTCACTTTTACTTGTTTCTGTGGCAGTTTGGATCCTTCATTGAATAATCTTATAGTTGAGAGTCTCAGATGATAAAATTCAGCTGATAATTTAATGAAATTTCATTAATTTAATGAAATCATCAAATATAAGCCATCAAGTTCTTCAGTGTCCTAATCATAAAGCTGTGATATTGATCAGTCTGTTCTCTCACACAGTTGGATTTTAAGACAGTTTTTCTTTGCCTTCAAACAGCCTAAACTTTATTAATATAGCAGCTCATTTCCAGTCTGACAGACCCAAACATTTAAAACACAAACACTTTCATATAGGGTGTTTCCTCTCACACTGATTTACCTATAGCAGCCATTACTTTCATTATGTGTGTAACCTCTTCCATCACCAGGCAGTGAAAATTGGCTGGTAATGGAAGAGTTGACTTTGAGGTGAAGCAGCATCTGATGAGGAGCTGGGACCGGGTTAGGACTGCTTCAATGTGGACCTTAAAGTTGCTCACCTGGAGTGGGACTGAAGTCGATTCAGGATGATGCTGGTTGTTTTCCTGGTAAAGTAATATTTTGTTTCTTCCAGGCTAGATTTAAGGCCCTTTCACAATAAAACAGAATCGATTTACATCAAAACATCAGTAAACAGTCAAATCAATTAACTAATCAACAGTCTTTGTTAGTGAGGTACAGAGACTTAAACACAGAGATGAGAGGTTGCTGTGCTGTCAGCTCAGTAACAATTTATCAAAAACAGCTGACAAAACATCTGTTCACCATCACCACTGCTTCTCAGACTAACAGCAAATCTTTGTAACAGTTCACAAATCTGTCTAGTAACAGACTGAAAATGCTCTCACTGTACACTAATGATGCAATTCTGTTCATCTGAACATTACACTAGAGCACTGCTAAATTATGAGCTTATCAAGATATTTCAGAATATTCACTCAAACAAGGTGAAAATGAATGAAGAAACCAGATTCCAGTTTAACGTGGAATAATTTAAATATTCAGGGACAAAAGTATGATTAAGAACCTACAACTCAATAATGGATGGATGTATCTTCCTTTTAAAATGCTTGGTGAAGTCAGATTTGTTTTATCAATTTATGAACAATTAATGATAAAAAAAAACAGTTACTTTGGGAAATAAAGCTTCTAGAATCATTTAAAGAAAATTAAACAAATAATTTCAAACCTTGCAAAAAGCAGTTTAGATAAAGTGAAGTCAGGAAAGCTTTGGACATCTTGTCTGCTTCTTCGGGATATTAACCCTGAGCAAATCAGAATATGTTTGTTTTTGTATTTTTTTTTAATCATTTCCCCGTCAAGTTGATTTTTTTTTTTGTCCTTCCACAATGTCATGAGTTGAAAATGAGGATCACAGTCTTTCTCCTTGTTTCTTTTGTCATTAAAAAAATAATTATTTCTATTCTTTCAGATTATTCAGAACAAGAAACCTTCAGATCCTCAAATGATTCCTGGGTAAATATGCAGGCCTTGCATTGTTTGATCAGAAAGACCCTCTCAGTCTCCATTTAGGTGGGAGTCATTAGTGAAGACCTTCAGGAGTCTCCCCAGATGATCAGTCTCAGTGCTCAGTGGTAACTTTATTGTCCCCAATGGGAAATTGATTTGCAGAATATCAACACATCAAACAACACAAACACACACACACACACACACACACACACACACAACAACCCCCCCCCCCCAAAAAAAAAACCTTTGAGTCTGGACTTTGAATCACTCAAAATCGGTCAGAGACAGTTCAGAGTCATCTTGGCTGTTTAGGCCAAGTCTTTGTGCCCCCTGGGGTTTGACTTGTGGCATTTATTTATTCAAAATCCAAACTAAAAAAAAAAAAAAGGTTCGTGCAGCATTAAGAGTGGATTACCACTGCTGTCTCCAGCACCATCAGGGTACCAACTTAAAAAAAATAAAAATAAAAATCAGAGCTAATCAATAACTCTCAGTCAAACCATCCAGATTATAAACATCAGTCAATCTACATCAACTCCTGATGCTGCAGGAAACGGATCAGACCCCCAGGGAGTGGCAACTTCTTCAACCAACGGCGACCAACCAGGTGAAGAATCTGCAGCCTGCAGAGATGCAGCAGTGGGCGCGGTGGAGCTGAAACAAACAGACTGGTTAGCCTGGAAACACACTAGAATAACTATTAACACTGAAATCAGTAAAATTGCAGAGGAATCAATTATCACTTTTTGATTTACCCGCTTTCTCCTTTATGCAGGTCCATTCAGAGTAACTGTCCAGGTGTTCCATCAGTCTGGAGCAAAGAGTCACATGGCCGACGTAATCCAACAAGACATCAATAATTGGCCCCGCCCATCGACAGATACTGGGGACGGATATCATCTCACAGAACTGTCAGTCCGTGAGTGTATCAAACAATTAGTTACACCTTAACTTTATCGTGAGGTCACCTGAAGGCCGTACTGTGATTAGGCAGTAAGGTTTTGCCAGGTACTTTCAGGTATTACCCAAGCATACAGCCCAACTGCATGCACTCAGAGCTAGATTCAGATAACCTGGCTTATGTACAATGTTAATGATCACTGTTAGATAATAAAAAGTTATCCTGGATATGTCTTTAAATGTCCCCTTTTCACACACATTAACAAAGTTTTTAAATACCCCGTTTCAAACAAGGCCACCTGAGTAGCTATGGTAATGGTTTTGTTGTTTTGATTTTTACCTGGATTTGTTTCATTTTACCAGATAAACATAAAATTAAAAGGAAAAATAGAGGTCACCTGAATGGCTCTTCTTTGGACAGCTTGGTCGATATCATGGAGTTCATCCCTCTCTGTTCGACTGGTTTTGATTGGTGGGTGAGGACGACTGCCATACACACAATTGAAGCAGGAAAGGGCATTGCCTCCATGGTCTAGCAGGTACTTGAACATAGGCAGGTACTTCATTGAGAACATGTACACGGCAGGGAAAGTAGTGGGGTGGGTGGGGATGGTAGCATTGATCTCAGCGCCGTGTTCTACAAGCAGTGTGATGGTCTGGATGCAGCCCTGCCTTGCTGCTACCATCACAGGCTTGAACACATCCAAGTTTGGGTTAGCGCCAGCAGTCAGGAGCATTTGCACAGCATCGATGTTGTCGTTGATAACAGCAAAGTAGAGTGCCGTACTACGGCGGTCCTCGTACAACCTAGACCACTCCTCTGATAGTTGGGTGTTGACATCGAACCCTGCCCCGATTAGAGTCTCCAGGACATCATCACGGTTACGCTCTGCTGCCATGTGCAGAGGGCTAATGCCAGTCCGCCGGACTCTGGCCTTACTGGTGGCTGGGATCAACATGGAGACTATGCTGGGAACAGGAAACACCTAGCAATTAGCCTAAACTGATACACCTTAGTCACGCTTACGGACAGAAACACTTGGTCACTTACGATCAGAAACAGCTGGGGCATTTACAGTCAGAACAACAATGGCAACTCACAGCCAGAAACATTTTATCCACTTACAACCGGAAACACCTCGGCCCTGTACAAGCAGTAAAACCTAGTGCCCTTACAATCAGAAACACTTCGCCACTTATGGCCAGAAACATTTTGGCTACTTAGCACCAGAAAAACCTGGGTCACCTATGACCAGAAACACCATGGCCAGAAAGAATGCCACTTGTGCCCAGGAACATCTGGGCCACTTGTGGCCGAAACCCCATCGCTACTTTGGTCTAGAAACACTGGGAACACTTAAGGTTAATGCTGTTGCTCCCTAAAATTGCTCCAGATACCTAATACCTGGATGAGTCAAGGTAGCCACACTTAACACAATGCCACTATTAAATACCAAATTAACTCCAGTGAGTCTGCACAACTCGGTAAACATTTCATAGTGTACCTACGTGTCACTTCCTCTCTGGGCGGCAACATGAATAGGTAGCAGTCCCCTCTTTCCTGGTTTGTTGGCATCAGCATTCTGGGAAATGAGAAGCTCAACGACTTGTTCATGTCCATTTTTAGTGGCTTCATACAGAGCTGTCGCGCCATCAGCTGCCTGGCTGTTGATGTCAGCACCTGCAAAATGGGAGATGGGGTGGGGTCAAAGGTGGAGTTAATTCAGTGGCAACAGAGGTGTTCAGTGTGCAACAAGTTCATTAACCACGTTATTTACCATGTTTGAGCAGAAAACGCAGCGTGGCGAGCTGCCCACTCTGAGCAGCGGTGAAGAGTGGTGTGATGCCATACATGTTGCTGATGCTGTGTTTGGCACCGGCCTTCAGGAGCATCTCACAGATGTCCAGGTTGTTTCGGCTAACAGCTTCCTGTAGTGCTGTCCACCCTTGAATGCAGCGAGTGTTCACCACTACTCCGTGGTTCAGCAACACTGCCACAATTGCTGGGTTGCTCCTCTCACAGGCTACAGATTGGAAAACACATAAAAGGGACATCTTGATACATTCTCAATTATCCAGGTAAGTAAATCTCCAAAAGTAAATCTCCAAAAGTTGATTCTGTTGATCTGAACATAGTGTTTTCGGTCTTCCACTGAAAACGCTACGTCCAGATGAACAGAATCAACTTTTGGAGACATAAAAGGGACATTTCACCCAAACAAGAATCAGATGCAGTTGATTCAAGCTGGGACTCATGCTGGTATGACTGCTCGGTCTATGTTTATAAATTGGCAATCTCCAAAATATAGTCCACGTAGATTAAAATTTCATGCAGAGCTGGTCAAATTGGTTGTTTTTAGTGGCTTGGTGAAGCTGTTCCTACTGGATGTCAAAGAGAGTCTAATCTCCTAATTAAAACTTATGAAGATGGGATAAAAATCCTACATTTAAAAAAGGTTAGGACCCTTTCATCCATTTGCATCATCATTTCTGTTTTTCTTTGGGGGGGTTTCTCTTCTCCATGTGTGTCCTGTCTCTTTTACCTTTGTACAGTGGTGTCTCTTTGTCATAGTTTGGGATGTCAGGATCAGCTCCTCTTCCCAGGAGCACCTCAACGCATCCCAGATGCTCTCTACTGACGGCAACCAGCAGTGCTGTCTCGCCATGTTCTGTCCTCTTGTTGATCATCCCAGGCTGAGCTGCTCAAACCAAAGATGGTATTGCAGGTGTGCTCAGTTGTTCTCTGTAATTTTGAATAGGTGAACCTACCTGACAGCAGCATGCGCAGAGAGGTTTCCTTGCCGAACCACGCTGCCTGGTGAACTGCCAGCCAGCCCGGTTTACTCGGCAACATCAAGTTTGTTCCTGGGCACATTGCAAGTGCTTTCACTCTGCTTGCATCACCTTCACGGATTGCTTTGAACAAAGGTTCCTCCTCCCTGCAGTGACAAGACCAATCAGCCAACTGGAACACCTTGTTCAGAGGTGAGTCAAATGGATGTACATGTTAGGAGCAGAACTAAACTCACTCTTCAGGTTCGGGACAGATGTGGACCAGACTGCCATCATGTCTGCGATATGCCACCATCCTCTTCCCAGAACCCGTGACAAACAGACTGATTGTCCCATCAAATGTCTTCCTGACGAGACAGCAGCCAATTAGGACACAGTTCCAAAAAGAGAAAGCAATCAGAGCACAGTCACAAAGACAACAGCCAATCAAACTACAGACAAGGAAACTACAGTCAATGAGAACACGAAGACAGGATTTGCAGCCAATCAGGACACAGACACAGAACCTGCAGCTAATGAGAACAAGGACACAGGGTCTGCATCCAATCAGAACACATTCAATAACAATCAATCAATCACTCTACATGCAAACTCATCAATGATCCGAAGCTCTAAATATATTCAACTATCCACATACTTGGTCAGAAGAGACTAAGAATAAAAATGGAGGCTACTCACGGATCAGGAGGCTTTTGAGGTGGTGGGTTTGGTGAGCTGTAGTGTGCTGTGGTCTGTGCTTGAAATGAATTTTGAGCTCTGTAGCTGGGCTGGTTTGTGTTTATGGCTGGGTTCAGTTTGTCAGGACAATGAGAAGGCTGGACACAGCTGGGGGTACTGGCACTGATGGTGTTGTTGGCACTGATGGTGTTGGATTCGGTGGTGTTGCCATGTGTGTCAGTTAGGCTGCGCTCAATTGCAAGCTGCAGCAGCTCTTCTTCACTCAGATTACTATAGAGAGAATAATCGTCAGAAGTCAGACTGGAAGCAGATGATGTGGAGCGAGAGATCCTGGGTCCTGCCATGATGTCACTGTAACAAATGGGAAGTGACACCAATCAGATATTTATTGTTTCTAACTTAATCGTTTTATCACGTAAAGAAGCTGCAAAGTCTTTCTGAACATACTTTGTACAAACTCAGTGTTTGATGATTTAAAAAAAAATAAAAATAACTACAACAAGGTTTACCTGCAAGCTTAAAAGCATGGAAACTCAAGCGCCCCCATGTTCACTACCAACAAATACTGGACAAACAGCTGCTAAAGACATGCTGGTAACACTTGGAGGCAGAAAGTGTAATATAGTTCAAAGTTCAAGTTCACCAGTTTAACCAGTTTGTGAAGCATTAATCTCTCAGATTATTTTACTGTTAAAGTTTTGTGTTTTTTACAGATCTTATCATCATCTGAGAACAGCTCTGATTGAAGTTGGTGGCACACTCACAGCGATCATTTTCATCAGGAGAAGAGTGGAATTACCCACAAAAAGCACCTTTTAATGTGTGCACTCAGAGCCTAAAGCAGACAGCCCAGCTTAATGGAGAAAATTAATAACAACCATCTTGATGGCCAGATAAACAAAAAGAAGGAAACTGAGATAAACAATGAGCCAGAAAAACTGAATGTCAGATTTCAGTCTAACAGCTTCAGTCACTGAAGTTGTTTACCACTGTCAGAAATCCAGTGTTTCCCTTGAGTTTCAGCTTCGTCCTTTCCTCCGTCTGTTCTCCAGCTGTCTGTCTGTAATCTAGTCTGACCCCAGCGTGGGGGTGGGGGTGTTACTTAAGTTTTATTTTAGGAAGCTGCTATCAGAGCTTGTTGACCGGTCCACCTCTTCACTGCTCTAATGTTGCAGGTAGAGTCACATGAAGCTGTATCACACAAACAAATGCTGAAGAGCTGTTTCACAAACTGGATCACCCCCAAAATAATCCCAGACCTGCTCAGAGCTACAGATTAACTTCAGTTTTAACTCTTTTTTTTTTTTCAGGATTTTGAAGTTGCTTCATTTACTAAGGTACATCACAATGTAGCAGACCTAACTTGCTCCAGGGCATCTTATTTTCCTAATTAGAGACTCAATGGCAGGAAAATTCCACTTACTGACCAATCAGACCTCAGGAAAAAAAAATCACTATTCCTAGATGATCCCTTAGAGTGCAGATTGCAGCAGGGACTAGAGGTTTTTAGGAGCGTCTAAAGATTCTTAGTGAAACTTTATTTCTGTTTTTTTCCTAATGGCCAAAAATGTCATTTAAAAAAAGATTTAATAACTCTATAAGCCTGACCCAAAAAGAACTAAGTATAAATCTCCACCAGGACTGCAAGTGAAAGAATAAAAACTGTTAGAAACCAATCAGAAACATTACTTACCAGAACAAACAGCTGCCATTATCCTCACGATGGAGTGTCATAGTAATAGGTCTGCACAAGGCAAGAAAAACATAACCTTCACCTGTCAAGGATTGTTAAAGAATAATTCTCTATATGCAAGTGTATACTTAACACAAGTATGTACGTTTTTCTGTGCCTCAGTGCTTTCTATGTAATATTTATGCTCTGTTGAACACATCAGATTGCAACCTCTGGGGTTAGTATCATGTCCATACTCTGACCTGCAGACTGGAGCAGCCAGGGATCAAGCCACCAACCCTCTAATTAATACATGGCCTTTTCTATCTCTTGTGCTACAGCCACTACTAGACCATATTTAATGCAAATGTTTACATTTTAAAAAAATTTGTGTTTATATCAGTGAAATTTTAGAGCTGCCATGACTGAAATCCAAAAACTTTCCAGAATGAATCCCAGATCTGTCTCAAGTTACACCAGAGTTTTAACTTCAGCTCAGTCATAACTTTGTTTATTCAAAAGTCTCCACACAAATCCATGGATTGTTATCACGGCACGCATGTGCGATTGTGTTATTTTTAGACTGAGCTACTGAGAGTAGTAATACGATGGCACCTGTCCAAGATGGCGGCCAACCAAACCGGTTTGACAACCGGTTTGACGGGTTTCGTGCGTGTGCGCATGCGCGTTCAGTAATACGATGGCACTAGTCCAAGATGGCGGCCAACCAAACCGATTTGACCAGTTTCGTGTGTGTGTGTGCGCATGCGTGTTCAGGTGTGGAAATACCACAGGGGATCAGAGGGGTTATATGAGTTTGTGTTTTTAACGGGGTTTTAATTTAATCAAACCATAGGGTTTTTAATTAAACTATTTTTATCACTTAGGTGTATCGCAACATTCAGTTATGCATGTGTTCTTAAAAGCAATTCTTTGTTTCTTGTTTCATTCTTGGCGGAGTGGAAGCTGTTTTGGTTCACAGTGCGCCTTAACAAAGAGGGTGTGCTCTAGTCAAAAGTGTTGGTAATAGTGTTTTAATCACACTAATTTTCTAAATCTGACAATGTCTCAGCTTGCAGTGAGGCATGCATTTTATTTTATAAATGGCACAAATGGGAATTTCTTCTGAATGGGTGATGTCAGCATGTTCACAAGCGTTTCATTTAATCAAACCCCTAGTTTTAATTTAACTAGTTTTTACACATCTACTGGGGTTTCTTTCCAGGGTTGATGCGATCATTTTATTTAAAAGTCGGGATTTCGGAATGTTGAACTAAGAGTGAGACAAAGCCAGCTAGTTTTTTAACACAGTAAATGTCACAAATAGCATTCAGTCCTTTAGAAAATAAATGCTATAAGCAGCCAGTATTGCTCTTTTCAAACTAATCGTCTTTTAAATACACTCATTTTGTGATTCCGGTGTCAACACCTTGCACCGATGCAAGCATTTTATTTAATTAAAAACGGATCAAACGGGCCATTTCTTCTGTAAGGGGTTTCATGGTTTCAGAGTAGTTTTTAACACAACAGATAGTCGCAAATAACATTCAGCAAACGCTACAGTGATACTTCTAAAACGCTGCACACAATGTCGTCTTTTCCCCCAAAGCAACCAGTATTGCTCTTTTCAAACTAATCGTCTTTTAAATACACTCATTTTGTGATTCCGGTGTCAACACCTTGCACCGATGCAAGCATTTTATTTAATTAAAAACGGATCAAACGGGCCATTTCTTCTGTAAGGGGTTTCATGGTTTCAGAGTAGTTTTTAACACAACAGATAGTCACAAATAACATTCAGCCCTTTAGAAAATAAACGCTACAGTGATACTTCTAAAACCAGTCGCCCAGACCCGCTCCAACTTTTCAACAGCTGGCTAATTGTTTGAATTTGTTCAGGATTGTAAAAGCCCACCGCGGGTATCACTAGTTGAGAGTACCATGCGAACAAGGGCCCAGCCTATTGTTTAAAGTGGCCGGTATTGGCTCTTTTTGTAATTCCTCGACAAGGTAAATGGGGCAGGTGTACCAGTCGGGTGGCGACCCCGCCTATTGTCTGAAGTATCGGCTCCTTTGTAATTCCTTGAGAAGACAAAAGCCCTGAAGGGTCTCATTTAAATTGATTGGCGACATACCTTTTCTTTTTGGAAACACCCACCCTATATAAAAAAAACACGCTCAGAGCCCGAAACCCTGAGCCATTTACGCCTCAAGATTCGCTGCAGAGCACACCATTTTCTTTGCGATCATCAACACTAACATCGTTCTTTATAACATGGCCATCGTAAACGGTAAGTAAAACAAAACCTATTATTGGATTTTTAAAAAGTGTTATGTTAACATATTATAGGATATTCAAACTATTTTTTTTCCCTAAAACAAAAGCTTAATTTTTAGGAGTTCGGGAGAACGGCCCAGGGCCCTTTTCTTTAGAAACGGGCGCTTTTACAGCTGGAACTAGTCCTCTAACAGGCACAAGGTGTGTACAGCATTACTGGATTTTAAAACGTATGTATGTTTTAAACTAGCGATTGTTTTAAATTATGTAATAACGTTTTTGTTTGTTCCAGGGTTAACAAACTGAGCGGGAAAACATTCAGACACCGCGACCACAGAGCCCAACCTTACATCAGGTGTGTATACAACGGGATGTATAGTTGTGTATTATTTTTTCAAAAGAAAAAAAATTTAAAAGAGGTTTAAACAATTACAAATGTTCTAAACTGACCGTTTTACACCTACAGAGCCACGCCAGAGAACCGGGTGTGTGGAGAAGCAGGACCATCCCGAATAACGCACACTACAAGGTAAGCATAGGCATATATAAATTAGATAAAAAGAGATAGAGAGGGAGACACGCTTATTCAGTTTGAAATGGGTACATGTATAAAATGTTTTAACACATGTCTATCTATCTTCACAGACTGCAGCACAGCACCCCTCCTCATAATGATCAGGACACCGTACGATTCCAGACGTTTTTGGAATGTTTAAGCAGTATCGACCTCCCAGAACAACAAAAACCTGGAGCTTTGTGCAACAGTGGAGAGTCAGAACAGATCTTCATCAGCGAACCTGCAACACCCCCGAGTGAGTGGCTACCTCGCGATTTCTCTGATGTTTTTGAGTACAGTATATCAGATTTTGATCTAGTTCATATACCCACCACCCCAGAATGTGACAGAAATAGCATTGATTCACACATAGATTTCGAAGAAGGCGGCATAACAGACTCTCAAATATCACCGGCGTATGATGCTTACATGAAGCTTCCAGACGCTCAGCCTGCTGAACAGAGTCATATAGCTTCAATAGCTGATAAATTATGTTTGATTGAAGCTAGACTCAATCAATACCACCAAGAAGCACAGGTACAAAGGCAACAGTTTACCAAATTCATAAACAAAGTGTGTAGTACATTAGACAACATCTGCTATGTTCTATTTAAACCCAGATTACTTTTATAGTTTGCAGTGAAATTTCTTAAACCATTGTTTAATGGGACAGAAGTACAAGTCACTCTTTACTAACACACTGTAGATAAGTTTATTGCTGAACGACACAGCTAGCAGTCCCACACACTCTTTAGATTTTTGAAGTTTTGTGTGTGATGGTTTTGCCTCTCACACCTTACCCCTTTCTCCCAGTATCACAACAGTATGACTCCCAAAGTACGACAAACAAGGACTCTAAACTCAGAACAGAAAGATACAGTTGAAAGATTAGTGATATCTTTTATGATGCGTAATAAACTACACCCTCTTCTTCTCTGTATTTATGTTGTTTGTGTGTGTGCGTGCGTGCGTGCGTGCGTGTGTGTGTGCGTGTGTGAATGCCTTAGAAGTCAAAGTATACATTAGCCATACTTACAAAAACATTTTTAATTTCATTTAGAACTGAGATTCTAAGTTGTAAGCAGAAATCGTATGCTCAACCAGGAGTATGTTTCCCCACTTTCACAATGCTGAGGCATCAAATCCATGATCCAACAGATGGTTTGTCACATGTGGGCGAGAAGGGCAAGCCAACCCTTACTTACACAACCTCACACACTATAGATTTTTAAAGCTCTTGTGTACAACGGTTTAGCTAAAGATATAACTTCTACTTTTGATAAAGATCACTCCCTCTGCATATTTCTTAAGAAATGAAGTGTCTTTACTGGGATATTTATTGTCAAACTATACGATTTTCCAAATGTGTGTGGAGTAAAATGTTGTGACCAAGAATCATTCAGGATTAACAACACAAACTGTTTTGATAGCAGAAACAGTCTGTCTTATAGTTCCCATACTTTACCGCTAGTTTTACAAACACATTCTTCTTCATATCGGTTTAATTGGTTTTTTATGAAACTGATTTTTAATAGTACAACCAAGGTCTAACTTTTCCTAGCTCCCCAGTATAAATGCAAGAATTTTGCAGACTTTATTGAAACTGTCACAATTTAACACTCAATGCCATAAACAGAGTTGATCCATGTTTCTATGGACAGTGTTTCATACATCAACAGCTCTGAAAATCACTTTTAAAGTAATGTAGAACATGATCTCTCTCACTCTCAGCGTCTCTAAAAAACCCAGCAAACTGACAATCACCTCTAAACAAGGGGTCAGTTTATAGGCTTTTTGTTTGTTTGTTTGTTTTGTTTTTTATCAGCCGCAACACCATGTAATGCATGGATGTTAGACTCTTTCACCAGACCATGTTGCTAGCCCAACCACCAGGCTCAGGGTCTCTGAACTCTAACCCTGGCTCTGGCTGCCAAATGTGCCTCTGACCCTCTTGTGCCTGTTCACCACCAGACTAAGTTTGTACTCTCACCTACTAATATTATTTTATTACAGGGCAATATTCAGCTAGGTTACTACTTTGACTTTCTTACTTTGAGCACATTTCCGAGCCCATACATTATCAAACTTTTACTTGAGTATTTCTGACACCAGCTATACTTTTACTTAAGTAAAAAAAAAAAAAATGCCTGCACTATCGGTGTAAAGCTGTCTTTAATTCTTGAACAGTTCATGCAAAAATTATAAATTAAACCTCCACCACAGCTAACTCTTTTTAAAAACAAAT